GCTTAATTCCAGGAATGGTCTGAACCGTTGAGGCACCCGTTTACAGGCCTGCAGATGAGTCTCACTAGAAAGTTCTGCCGACTAAACCAATGATTACCTCAGTCAGTCAGTAATGAGCAGTTAGCCAACAAACTGTTCAAGATAAGGGTTTTATACAAACCTGTGAGTGTGTGTGCGCATAGACAGATTATGGCCTATTTCACGGTTGTGTAAAGCACTGAACACTATGTTAAAAGTTTCCTGTCCAAGATCACTCGTTTCTTTACACAAGTGAACTTGAGACCTCGAGGCCATAAAGTCTACGTTTTTAAAAGGAGTTTCTCCAAAAGATCGTAAAATCAGTAACAATAAAGTACACTATTTAAGTGTCTTTTGCTGTACATTTGCCTTTGTGTATAGAAAGTACTGTCAATTCAACTAAAGGCTTTAATCTCGATATTTTGTTGACTATATATCATAAACTTTCAAACATATCATTAAATCTATATCAGAAGTCAGAATCTTTAGCCCCTTATACCATCTTGTTGGTGGTGGTGTGATCTAGCTATTTGTTCATTTTTATTTCGCTCATTCAGGAATTAAGTTGCAAAGGAAGAGGAGAGCAGCCGTTAACCATAAAGTAAGTGGAGTAAAATCAAACATCTTCTTTTCTTTTCCCAAATCTGCTATTTTGCCCAAATAAAAATCTGTCTGTGCAAGGAGTTCACATTTTAGTGTCACGAGTTTGATTAAAGTAGTAGGCTATTAGATTGGAAGAGGTGCAGAATCTACAATATGGCTTTTTTCTTTCTTTCTTTCTTTATTTTGTTGATTTAACTTTGGGTAAATTATATAAAATATAACAATGTTCATTAAATTAAATAAATTATATAACGTATAAACATTAAAGTATATCAAATTAATAATATAAATGTGTATTTGTGTTTATTTATTTCTTTTAAAAAAATAGTTAACCATGGTTATTTTGTCCATTAAGCAACCAGCAGGCATCATATTTCTTTACATTGATCTCTCTCTCATATCTCTCCTCCACCCATCAGGCGGCGCGTACTTCATGATCTCCCGTACTCTGGGTCCTGAGTTGGGGGTCCCATCGTCGTGGTGTTTTCTTTCACCAACGCTCTCGCTTGCTCGCTCAACACGGTGGGATTTACGGAGACTGTCAGCGATCTTCTCGTTGTAAGAATGACTCAAATGAACACAGTGCTTTTGTTGCATGACATTGTTGTATGTGCAACATTATGCCAATTGTAATGTGATATATGTCTATGATGCAACAGGAGTATGACTCAAATTGTGGATTCGATCAATGACGTCCGAATTATAGGATCCATCACAGTCACTGTGCTGCTTCTCATCTCATTGGCTGGGATGGAGTGTACATTCCTGAAAATAAACATGCCTTTTACAGTACAGTACAGTAAACTGTTGGATGCTTCTTATGCAACTCGAGTGAAGCACTGAAACATCTTAATTCTGCTTCTGGATAATTGAATGAATGTTTGTATATGTTTTTGTTTTTGTTTTAATATACATATTGTGTCCCAAAAAAATCACCAGCTTTCCCTGAAAATTTATTATTTTTCGTCCATTTACTTCTTGACTGTTTTTGTCAGCTGAAGCCATTTGATCTGAATTTTACTTGAAATTCTAGATTTCAAGTAAAGCTAACCATTCCAAAAAAGTGAAATAACAATAATACTATTTTTATTTGATTGCATTGCATTTTCTTAATATATATTTTGATATTGAGCAACTCTGTTAACATCATGAGCCTGCAGTTCCTTCACACTCCTCTAGAGGTCCACAAAACTCATGCTATGAAACTCTTGTCTTAAACAGAGCATCAATTTATCATCAGCTTATAATGCAGTGTTGTCCTTCCCTTTCATTCTCTCATAGACTCAGATCCTGTTCTTCTTGGTTCTTATGGTGTCTTTCACCAACTGTTTTGTTGGCATTTTGATTCCGCCGTCTCCCCAGAAGCAGTCTATAGGTTTCTTCAGTTACCGCAGTGAGTGTGAATCTTTTGTAACAAACTATCTGTCAAGATCCAGATAGGTTTTAGTCAGTTCCTAGAAGTGTAATTGGTTTAGAAATATTTAACTTCTATAAACCCAGACAAGATTACTTAGTACCATACCAATAACTGTAAAGACTTATGCAATATTTCCTTGAAAATAAAAGTTATGTCATTATTTACTCACTTAGTTTATGGGTTTTGACTGACATGCAAAACAGTTATTTTTAGAGTGTCTTTTTGCCCTTTTTGTATTTGATAGACTCTATGAAGTGTTTTGTGAAAAAAAAAAAAATGTTATGAAGTGAAAAAACGTCTCGGGTTACGTATGTAACCCTAGTTCCTCGAGGGAACGAGACGCGGCGTCGAAAACGCTAGGGGAACGCCGTTCAGCGTGACGGGCTCTGAATCTCGTGTGTAATCAGACTAACAGCTGGGCGAGACGTCACGGCGGGTGACGTAATGACCAGGAGGCTATAAAAGCACGTGCGGTGAGACCAGCGTCAGCTCAAGGAGTGAAGCCAGCGCTGGCAGGGACGCCGGAAGGATGGCACCGAGACGCAGCGTCTCGTTCCCTGCTGAACGGCGTTCCCCTAGCGTTTTCGACGCAGCTCGAGTTCCTGAAGAGGAACTACATTTAGGATTCTTAATTTGTTCATTTACAGTAGGTTTAAAGCAACATGAGGATGGATAAATCATGACAGGAGTTTCATTTTTGGTGCTAGTTTCCATTTAACACATCCCAGAAATGATCTTGCAAAATATAACAAAATAATTTTGCACAACATTGTTTTTTTTTTCAGGCGAGATCTTCTTGGAGAACCTCTTCCCAGACTGGAGAGGTCCGGACGGTGACTTCTTCCGAATGTTTGCCATCTTCTTCCCATCTGCCATTGGGATCCTTGCTGGAGCAAACATCTCAGGAGATCTGAACGTGCCGGAATCCAAAGTGATGCTACTAAACTTTGAGTTCTTTACGGTTTTTACAGTTCTTGAATACATGTATGGATAAATAAATTTATGAGACTTGCGATTATGGCTCCAGGGTGTTCATCAAATCCTGTGTTTGCGAACGTTTCAGGAGCCTGAGATTGTGAGGGTCTGAGCTGCGGTCTGGGCTGGAACTTCACCGAGTGCCAGCAGAGCGACACCTGCTCCTTCACTCTCCAACAGCTTCCAGGTGAGGCTCTTCCTCTTGAGAAGACACCAGACACCAGTCTTCTCACCTAAGGCTGTGAACTAAAGATTCATATTTTGGTGTGTGAATGTAAGACGTGTTAGTCTAGTGGTTGTAGTTGATCAAATATAAATAAACCTAGCAAAATGCCTGACAGCCAGTGATCATCAAGAGTGTCTACTGAATGGAGCAAAGCAGAAGAGAAAGGAGAGTTTAACAAGAGAATCAGTAGATAATGACAGAATGTTCTGTTTAAAGCAAATGATCTAGAAATTATGCGACTCTATTAGACTCACCAAATGAAGTCGAGGGATTTTAGGACTTTTGCATGATTATTGCCAAAGCATTTTGTAGAAATCTGTAGTAATCATTTTTCTTTCTTTCTTTCTTTCTTTCTCAATCTTTTATTTTGTATTTGTAAGTTTGTTTTTTTGTTTTTTTCCCGCTAAGGATAGAAGAGTTATTTATTCATTTATTGTATATAGGTTACTAGAGTTAATAATTCCTGTATGCATTTAAAATGGTTTTATTAAATACTTGGGTTACTAGAGATTGTAATTTTATTACAAAAATTACTTTAATTTTATTGATTGATTGTTTGATTCATTCATTCATTCAGTCATTCATTCATTCATTCAGTCAGTCAGTCTAGAGATTTAACTTGGAAATTACACTGAAAAAAATGTTTCATTCATCCAATTAAAAAAAAATAGGGTAATGATTCACATCTATATTTTTTAACTTGAGCCAATTAAAAATAAATAACTTGCACTAAACAATATTTTCTATGTCTATGAAAACTATAAAAAGAAATTTCTTAAATGATCATTTTTGTTTTGATTAAATCTATATTTTTTAGTTTGGATCAAAAATAGAATTTAAATTAATTGACTTACTTCAACAAGAAAAATATACTTTGTGCCAGGTTTTATAAAATAGTTTTCATGGACATAGAAAATATTGTTTAGGGCAAGTTATTTATTTTTCATTGGCTCAAGTTAAAAAATATAGATGTGAATCATTACCCTAAATTTTTTTAATTGGATGAATTAAACATTTTTTTCCAGTGTATGGTGCTGGAAATTATTAAAAATAATTATAATAATCATGTTAATAATAAATATTTTAATCTCCACAGTTTTAATTATTTTTAAAGCTTTGTGAGGGGGCAGCTGCATAGAGAAACATACAAACAATGAAATCCTTGTTTATTTCAGCTGAAATATATTCTATATGTGTTGTGATGCTTAACTGTTTCTTTTCATCATGTGATTGAACAACGTTTTTATAAACTTGGTGTAATGAGACAATGAAAGCTGAGATGTTCGTCGTTGTGCTAAATTGTATTTTTCACATTGAAAATCAGATCAAAACATGCAATTCATAATAATCTAGTATTTATATTCAGTCAAAATGTAACATAATAAATTATTGGTTATAATGTTTTGGTCAATGAAATGTAATTTTTACAAAGCGTGAGCAAAAAAAACGTATTTTATAATATTATAATTGTGTCTTGTTGCATTAAATTGCATTTAACTTCTACCCTCAAATGAAGGGAGAGATCAGAGACAAAGTGCTTTCCCATTTCTATTCGATCTTTTCTAGCTGAATCATTAACCTGTGTCATCAAAGATAGATTAAACAGACATAAGAACATGTGAAATAAACATGCATCCACAGTCACTGAACAAGAGAATTAAACAGCTCATTTCAGATCAACAGGTTCAACATCTTTATGTGACTGAAACTGACAGCAGCTGAGCTTTCCATGCAGATGTGTTTAATGATGAACAGACACATTTACTGACAGTAGAAGGTCATGACGTTCTCCTGGTTTCCTCGTATGAGCAGGACGGGACAGTGGATGCCGTAGCTCAGAGCATCCATCCAGGACATATAGAGAGAACTAGGACAGGAGACATCAGGGACTGGAAGAGAACTGAAGCACACACACACACACACACACACACACACGTTATAATGAAGAGACTCATTAAAAACACACACTACCAGTCACTCGTTTGCTTAAATGACTGAAATCAGTTTTAAAGACAACAATAATTGTTCTTACATGCAAACTTCATACTTACAAAACGATTTAATTTGATCTTTTCTTTGAAATGTTTTCACTTTACCTTTTTAAGAACTTACTGTTTTATTTAGTTCAGCTTTTCTGTTGAGTAAAGTACTCATGTTAAAAGAGTTGAGAAGCTTTAATGGGTTTTCCTTCAAAAATACACAACATTTTAATGCATTGCTTAGGATGTCACGCATTTATAAGCTGCTTATTGGCTGAAAAGGAAAAAAATTTAAAAAATTTAAAAAAATCGATATAGTTTTTAAGTTTTAGTTGTAGTTAATTTATTTTTTTGTCATTTTAGTATTTCAACTAATCGGAAATGAGAAATGTTGCCTTACCAACTAGCTTTTTATTTTATTTCTGTTAATGTTTATTTTCTTTATTTATTCCAAGTAATGTTTTGTTGTTGTTGTCGTTTAGAATGGTTTTAGTTAACGGCAATGACCCTGATCTGTACTCACATTACAACCAGAGCAGCGTGAATCGAGTTCTTCTTGATTATCTCATTTAGTCTCACTGTCCTCTCCAGCTGAAAACAAAAGACAATTTAATAGAGGGACTGATTATCAGACTCAAGTTGAATTTATTTGTTAATGTACACATTATTTCAAACCAGCTTCACAGAAACAAACTGTTGTCTATAATGCATTATTGCTTTAACACTGAGACATTTTACTTACAATCAGAACGCCACACACTAGCAAACACACACACCTTTGGTTGTATGGCCTCCAGGTCTTTGTTGGATATTTTCCATGGACTCAGTCTCTTGAGATCCTGTACGTCTCCTCCAGCCTGTTCTTCACTCAGCCTGAAGGGGGCGATGGTTTCCTCGTACCGCTGCAAACTACAGCAACAGAGAGGAAGAAAAGCACAACGGTTACTAAAAACATGTATGTTTTTGTATGCGTGTTCATGAGCATGTTTGTGCCCATTTCTTACTTTTTCGCTAGAGGAGTTTTATCCACGTCTGTTATTATGACAAGGTCCTCGATCTCCAGCCGGAATAAAACATGAGACAGTAGCCTCGCAGAGGCTCGTTGTTTTTCCCGTAACCTTTTCCAAAGAAGCCGATGTAGGGGTAGATGTTATCCTTACACAAACACTGTGACAAAAAAAAAACACATAAAAGTTTACAGTCATATGTTGAATAAAAAACGTTATCCTCAGACGTGCCACACCGTCTACCTGGAAAATTTTGGGAGCAGAAACCAAGAAACCCAGCGCTGACGACAAGGTGGCGGCAAAGATCCCGATGGTGATCAAATGGCCAGATCCTGAAACTATGGCAAGAATCTGGAGAAAAATAGCCGTAATGTCTTTCATCCATCTTCCAAAAGTTATTTCTGTAGCTTAAAATACTTTCTTAGTAAAGCACTTCGCTAGCAATGCCATTGTCATTGGTAGTTATTATGCTGAATGCATTGATATGAATGTAAAATCTACTCCACTTTCCAGCAGTCAGAACTCACCGAATGTGAAAATCGTGTTTTTGCTAACAGGGCTGATGCGCTCACCTGGAAATGGTTTGCCAGTCCAAAGCTACATGTGCGGTTCTGCTCACACTGGTCAAAATTCCAGCCTAATTTACAGCCCAAACCACTGCAGTGGACCGAAGAATTGAGCGCTAAACTATCGTTCAGACTACCAGAAGCGTCTCTTACAACACTTGCAGCTGAGGGAGAAGAGAGGGAAGTGCCTTAGTGAGGGGTTCATTAATAAAATGCCCATTTCATTGTGACAGAAATATGTTTAATAATAGTTCTGTATAGTTTAATTATCAGCTTCGGCCACTATATTAATCTGTTTGGCTGATGTTGTCAGAATAGTGGCCAATAATTGTCAGCTAACATTACCATATAATTCCCATTTGGTTGTTTTTTGAAGAAACATTCTGTATTTTTTTAACCAAATCTAACATTCCCAAAAATGTTCTGGGAACCAACATTTGCTGGCTGGATATAAATCAGTTTATTTTTATCAAATTCCAATTATGTTTTTCACTATTATTTTTAAATAGTGTGATATCATATCAGTCACACTCTAAGATATCAAGAGCGCTGGCCATACTAAATCAATCATTCAATTGATCAATCAGTGTCGGTTGACCACTAATGTCTAATCTCACCACATGTGACTGAGATCAATAAATAGCTCAAGGTGGTCCAGAATATGGCCAGCAGGGTCCCTTTAGGAATCCCACCCGATGGATCCTGGAATAACACAGACAAATATATCATTTCTGTAGCATTTGAAAGGCACATCAACTGAAGCACAAAAACAGCAAGATAACCTTGAGATCTCCACAGATGTTGACTCCAGACAGAATGCCTGTGGCAGAAGGGAAGAAGATGGCTGTAAAAATGCTACAGTAAAAACCTGTTAAATGGTTAACGGTAAATTCCCCTACTATATATGGTGAAAAACTGTATTGGACATTACATTTATTGGACATTAATTTTACGGTAGTATACTATTTTTTGGAATTGAAAAATACCGTATAATTTACAGTGAATAACCGTAAACTGACGTTCCCAGAATTCCCTGCGTTACATTTCAAATTTGATGTTTTTTTGTTGAAATAACGGTTTCTTCTTAGTTTTTTCTTATCAGTTTTGTATATTATCGTTGTGCGTTACACCTAATGTTGTTAAATGAATGTTTATTGCATTATTTCAGTTTCATGAGTGTTACCATGATGGTGTTTAGTGTTTGTGTGAATGACACTGTGCACCTTCTATATACTGTATGTTATTATTTAAAAGCTGCTTGTGATGGGCTTTGGTTCATCGTGTGACTTTCTCATCACCACCTGCATTGGGTGGTTATCAGTGTATTACAAAGGTACAAAACAGATTTCAGTACTTCAATAGGTTGGTATATCAGTTAATGAAATGACGGTATTTAACTGTAAATTTAAGTTAAAACTGTAAAATCTAAAACGTTGCTACAATATTTGTTACGGTAAAATTCCAGCAACCGCAGCTGCTGGTTTTTTACCGTAAATGTTACGGAATTTTTTTACAGTGTAGTATCAGGTGCGAATTAGTTGGTAAAGATGGCCATCCAGCTCTTTGGGCGACCAAAGTACTCGTATTGGTTAAGCAGGGTCTCAAAGGCCTGAAAATGTTAAATTATGATTAGTTGTTTGTGATGTTACTCATTTGAAGTCACTTTCAATTAAACTAGCCTAAGTATCGATACTCACATTGCAACCAGAGCCGCGTGGATGGAGTTCTTCTTGATGATCTCGTTTAGTCGCAGCGTCCTCTCGATCTGAGCGTGAATACAGGGTAATTCTATTTAACTGATGCATCGTATTTGTGTTCAAAACCCCACACACTAGCAAACACACACACCTTTGGTTGTATGGCCTCCAGGTCTTTGTTGGATATTTTCCATGGACTCAGTCTCTTGAGCTCCTGTACGTCTCCTCCAGCCTGTTCTTCACTCAGCCTGAAGGGGGCGATGGTTTCCTCGTACCGCTGCAAACTACAGCAACAGAGAGGAAGAAAAGCACAAAGGTTACTAAAAACATGTATGTTTTTGTATGCGTGTTCATGAGCATGTTTGTGCCCATTTCTTACTTTTTCGCTAGAGGAGTTTTATCCACGTCTGTTATTATGACAAGGTCCTCGATCTCCAGCCGGAATCTCTTTAACAGCATCTTCATGCTGAAATGAGGAACACGTCGACTTGTCTGCATATCAAAACTAAAAGATGTAGTTGCAAAAATGATGGTGATGATGATCAACTCACTCTTTACGGTCTTCCTTTATGGTCTCCTGGTCTCCTAAGATAAACACTCTAAGTTTGCACTTTTTCCAGCGGTTTCTTCTGGTCAACAAATATGGCACTAAAAGAGTCAGACCTGAAAGAGAGCAATGATGCTTCACAGTGAGAAAATAAATGTGGATATTTTTTAGAAATATCAAAACCAACCCAGACCATTAAGACCCATTAAGGTGCTTCCGCAGGGAGTTTACGTATAATTCTCACCTCCATCATCAGAGATCCAGTAGATGTCGATGCTCTTCCTGCCCTGTTTCGTCTGAAACACCGATCTGACCTGCTCATTCGAGCCATCGTCAGAAATATCTGGATGGGGAATCAAAAAGGTTTAAAAAAAATTAGTTTTGTAAGGTCCGAGGTCAAATCGCACCAAATGAAGCTTGATTGGGAAAAAAAATCTGTGTACCCCATGTGCAGCTTTGCTGGTTATAATAAAAGCATTCTGATTGATTAAATATTCAAATGTTTTTTTATTCTTCCAATTATTTTAGAATATTGCATTCCTGTTTCAAGTGTGACACATGAAGCTATTTGCTGTTGGCATTTCCAGCCAGGGTTTTTAATTTGGTATCACAAAATCACTGTAACATTATATTATATTATGTCACATCACTTCACTAATAGTGTCAATGGAGTAAAAGTGCACAATAAGACTTCAGATGAATGTTTCACCTGAATTCCGGTCGGTCTCATCCTTTTCGTATTGGACTTCCTCTCCGTCGAATGCCGGATTGTCAATTGCAGATGATCCACCTTCAACCAAAACAAACCCACATCAGACTTGATTTAATGACTCGAACTATAGCGTCAATCCATTTTCTAGGCATACGGTATAAAGCACACACCTGCACTGTGCACATTATCTGTTACGTCCAATCCGTCCATCATTCTCAGGATCGCGATGCCGTAGCTGGAGTCGAATGCATCGCTGTAGGAGAAACATTACACAAGATCAAAATACAAAGAAAAAAGTGCAACCAACAGAACAGCTTTTTTTCCTCCTTTTTCCCTCATTCCACCTGAATAATACAGAACATCTCACGACTACATACATGCATAACTTCTCAAAACTGTTCACCTATAAGTAGCACATTTGCACATTCACAATTCTGTTTCTATCATGACAACTCTGCTGCTGTTGGTTTTTGCTGTAGTTGCTGCTGCAAGCAAGTACAGGAACTTGCTACTTCCAATGCATACGGCGATACGGTGCTGTGAGTATTTAAGACATACTGCTGCTGCACAAATAGCATAAAAAATTACCCGTAGCAGCTCTATACAGGTGGAGCTGGGGAAGGTGGAGGGTTTCGGAGGAACTCTGAAAGCGCACTGCAAAATGCTCAAGTGGATGCTAATCCGCTATTTAAATGTAAAGCAGCAAGCCCATTGGCTGCATATGCAACATGAACCAATCAGCTTGTGCCAAGTTGTTTAACGCTGTGAATATCATCAGTCACGTTAAGACCCATCAGCCTGCGCCATCTAGAGTTTCATGAAAGAACTAGGCATTTTCTCTATATTTTGTACATAACTTCTCAAAACTTTTCATTTGTAAAAAAGCACATTTGCACATTCACGTTCATAATTCTGTCTATGTTCTCTATATTTTTATTACCATACAGCTATTATTGTGTTAATTTATTGTCTATTCTCTTTATTATTAGAGCTATATTTTTATTACCTTAAATTATATGTATTTCTATACTTTCTGCACTGGAAGCTCAAATTCCTTGTGTGTGTAAAGACACCTGGCAATCAAGCTCATTCTGATTCTGATTTATGTGAACAAAAGCAGCAGCTCACCTGATGGTGTTGACGTAGTCCTGTAAGCTCTCCAGTTTACATTCCTGCCAGTTCATCTTGTATCCCAAAACCAGAGTGTTGGGCTTCAGTTTACCGAGACCTGAAGTCTAGAAAGACCATTGACGAGAAGAGCAAAGACTCTGTGAGAAGAACAAGATGACAAGAAGAAAGCTAGCAGATCTGAAGCTAGCGACGGTGGTACCTGCATGAGATTATGTGTGCCCTCTTTCAGACTGTCAGCGGTGAAGGACGTGTAGAAAGAACGAACTTTCCTCTGATTGAGCCAGTCCACCAGCATATCGGAGCTGTGCTGCGGGAAACTGGACTTCTCATCCTCCTGAGAGAGAGAGAGCAAGAAAACTCCATCACAAGTTTTGAAATAAATATATTCTTTTATTTAGCAAGGACGCATTAAACTGTCAGTTTATCTGTATAAGATGAATGTTATGTACCAGGATAATGTTCCCACAGATCATCAGGCTGATGTTTTTGGTGAAAGTGCCCACAAAGTCCACCAGAGCAGGACGGACGTTAGGAGGACCGGTCAGAACGAGACACTGAGGCCTAAAAGAAAGTGTTTACATGTGAGCGGCTGGTGCATCGTGAGCTGAAGAGGTCAGTTTGCTAATAATCTTTACCTGTAGTTTTTGACGTGGTCTTCAACACCAGACAAAGACATCGAGAAGGACAAAGCCATGTTGTAGAAACCTGCCTGATAAGACGTGCCCCAGTTCACCTCTGGACACACAATCAGACAAGATGAAAAACGGTGTGTGTTTTTTTTGGTACTGAAATATCATTAAAAATGCTAAATTTGGGGTTCTGTTGCTTAACTGGTAAAGCATGACACTCACTAGGTTTTGTATAAGTAACGTAGCCAAGGAGGAAGAGGACGATAAAGAAAGTGACGAGAGCGGCCCACCATGTGAACAGAAACATGAGGATGAATGACAAGAAAGACCCAAACAGAGACGTCCATGGAGAATAGTAATGATACTCTGGCCTCCAACCTGCAAGAGAAAACGACTGTTTCTTATTTTAATTCACCCCCTCAACAACTGATTGTTTTCTTTTCTATCCTTCTTTGGACATCATACATTGCATTTATTAATAATAAGGGTGCATAAATTACAGTACAGAAAGCTTATTTCATGTCCCCATTACAGAAACATGAGCTTGAAGAACCTCATAGATAGACATTTTAATTGTTCGGGTTTTTTTTTTTTTTTGTAACACTTTATTTTAAGGTGTCCTTGTTATACATGTTATATACTTACTATTATAATAACAATAAAGTATGCATCATTATATGCAAGTAAGCCTAAGCCTATAGTAAGTACAGTACATGTAGTTAATTATTATTATTATTGAGTACTTAAATGTATAATTACACTGTAACAAGGGCACCTTAAAATAAAGTGTAACCCTTTAAATTGTAGTTACTTTTTTAATTTACAGAAACTGGGAGTGTCCATAGATTAAGTTTGAAGAAGCAGTGACATAAAAGATGGACTAAAGCCTATTTTATACCCTATTGTCAATCCCTCAATGAAAACGACTTGTAGCTCTTCATTTGCATCCATTTATTACTAATCAAATTACAGTGCATGCATAATTCGTAGGCAGGTCGATATTTTATCATATTGTTTTTTTCCAAGCACATTTTAACAATTCCAAACAACATCAATCTGAATAACTACTATTAATTTTGTATGAACACCTTATATTCAGATTTGCATAATTATGATCAGAATATCGATTTGCCTAATAATTATGCAAGCACTATCTTTAGACATCTATCATTAGCACAATGGATGAGGATGATTATCAGGTTCTCACCAGGTGATTGATTGACCGACGCATGGAAGGTGCTGAAGTTGATGAGGCCGTAAGAGCAGAGGAAGAAGTTGGAGATCAGAGGAGCGATTGTGTTCAGGTCACCTGAAAACATCAACATGACACCAAACGTTAAAGCGTCTGCAGAGAGAGACACTTCAGTAACTGATCTGTAGGAGATCCAGGACTCACCGATGAGGATGAAAGCCAAAGCGATGAAAAACATGAGAGAGTAGCCTCGCAGAGGCTCGTTGTTTTTCCCGTAACCTTTTCCAAAGAAGCCGATGAAGGGGTAGATGTTATCCTTACACAAACACTGTGACAAAAAAACACAATATTATATTGTTATAACGTGTTATGTTTCACTGCATGTTGGATAAACAACAATATAATCAAAAAACCTCTGAAGTGCCTACCTGGAAAATTTTGGGAGCAGACACCAGGAAACCCAGCGCTGATGACAAGGTGGCAGCAAAGACCCCAATGGTGATCAAAATGCCCCATCCTGAAACAGTGGTAAGAATCTGGAGGAAAAACAGAAATCATCCTTCTTCCATTATCCATTATATCATCCACATTTTTTTTTTTTTCAGTTTTTGATAATTGCTTAGACATGATTTCTAAATGCACTGAAGTAAATGTAAAATCACTTCACAGTCATAAGAGTTCACCAAACTTGGACTCCAGCACAAAGTAAAAGATTAATATTTTTCACTTGTGTCTGTGCTATGAAATATATATTCAAGTAACAATTATTACAAGTAGCATGTTTTCTGGTTTTAGATTTAGTTAATGATAATAAACTTGTGGCAACTATCACTATTAATATTTTCAATTCAAACCATTGAAATTTGACAGGCATATATATATATGTGTGTGTGTGTATTTATATGTATTTATATGTGTGTGTGTGTGTATTTATATGTATTTATATGTGTGTGTGTACTTGTGTATATATTTGTCAAATTTCAAAATAAAAAAAACCATTAAAATTGCTACTTGTAATAATTGTTACTTGAAATAACAATAACTAAAGTAGAAAAAAGTTAGCTTTTTTCAAAATTTAGTTAGTTTGACTTGTAGTAAAATAACTAAAACTGAAATAATGAATAAAAAATGAATACAAATAGCATTAAAAAAGACAAAAAAAAGCAACATTACCAAAACTATAAGTAAAATTAAAATAAAAAAATGGGAAATACATCACAAAAACTCATTTAAAATATTAATAAAAACTATAATATGTAAGTGATACTAAAATAACATTGTTGGGCATACGAATAAAAGTGAATGCATGCATAATGTGAATTAATTTAACAGATGTGGTTACATGACAATATATTACTTGCAAAGTTAAAATGCATTACTTTACAATGCATTCCGATGTCCTCAGTGAAATTGATGATACACAATGGAAACAAATAGAACCCGTTGTTTTATTGATTTATCAACAGGGCCGATGCACTCACCCGGAGGTTGTTTGCCAGTCCATGGCTACATGTGCGGTTCTGTTCACACCGGTCAAAATTCCAGCCTAATTTACAGCCCAGGCCGGTGCAGTGGGTTGTGAAATTTGTCAGGGCTAAACTATCGTTCACATTCCCAGAAGCGTCTCTTACAACAGTTGCAGCTGAGGGAGAAGAGAGGAAATTGCTTTGGTGAGCCTTTCACCAAACAAGACTCATATTTTGTCTCTAATGCAATACAGTGCAACAGAATGTCTAATCTCACCACACGTGACTGAGATCAATAAATAACTCAAGGTGGTCCAGAGTATGGCCAGCAGGGTCCCTTTAGGAATCCCACCCGTTGGATCCTGGAATAACATGGAATAACCCACGTCATTTAGCGTTTTAAAGTCGCTTTGACTTTCATTCTTTACACGCTCCATCCGAAAAAGATCAAATTACCTTGAGATCTCCACAGATGTTGACTCCAGACAGAATTCCGGTGGCAGCCGGGAAGAAGATGGCGAACAACCTGAAGAAATATCCATTTGGGCCTCGGTAGGAAGGCAGCAGATTCTCCACGAAAATGTCACCTGGAAGAAGAAAACTGTGGGTTCTGCTGGTCTTTCGCCAAACGCTTGACTGAAGAAGACCTTCATTTTCTCTCTCAGCATTTTTGTCTTGTTTTTCTAGTACAAATACTGTATCTAATCTATATCTAAATCATGATACATATATGTGCACTCAAAGTCTTATAAGATCAGGATCTCGTGTACTCACCACGGTAGACGAAAAATCCCACAGAATCCTTTTCTCTGTTGGTGGGAATGACGGTCCCCACGAAATAATTAATTAAGGACAGCATGATGGCGATGAAGAACAGGATCTGAGCCTGTGGTGGAGTGAAAACCAAGACGAACAGTTGTGTTAAAAGAAGCAATATTGGGAAATTGGCGAAAGCAGGAGTAGAGGAACATACCTTCGCCTCCCAAGCCATGCCAGCGAATGTGATGCAGAGGAGAATGACGACAGTAATTGCCCCAACGATCCTCACATCATTGACATCGTCCACCATCTGAGAATCATAGTCCTGACAAGAGAGAAAACGATTGTGGATGAGATTTAAACAGTTGTGTTGTCTGTTCACTTGGAGCTCAACCGTAGTTACTATAACTAACTTGTGTATTTTCTATATTTACTTTTATGTTTCCACATTTAAAAGGGTCATGAACTGAGAAACCAAAATTCCCTTGATCTTTTGACATATAAGATCATTGTACCTGTAAGTTTCAGAACTCAAAACTTTCTCGTTGGTCTAAAAACAGCTTATATTGAAGTCAGTCTGCTAAAATAACAGCATGCGGAATGTTCTATTCTATGATGTAATAGTGTGGATAAGCACCGCCTCCGCAGAAGATCAATGCCTGCTTCTACATCGCAGCCTGTTTAGCCCCACCCACCAATTCGCAACTAAAAGACGATGCTGTGCAGAATAAATTGGATCCAACAGTAATGTTGCAACCCACAAGTGTGAGTAACTTTTTTTTTTATTATGTGGTCACTTTTGCTTTGTGTCTTACAGATCGTTTGATATGTATTGAGTTATTTATGCATTTTTAACCTAAATCACAGCAGCGTCCATCTATGAGGAATGTATGCTGCCAAACATACACAACTATAAGCCAATCATAGCAGTGGGAGTTTACTTCTACAATCCACCACACCTATTCAAACCAAGCATTCTGATGAGGGGGGTTTAAAACAGGACAGAAAATAGCCTATTACTTCTAAATTATGATGTTTTTTTTTATGTAAAAACCTTGATAACATTATAAGTGGACCTCAGAGAACAGTACAAAATAAAAACAAAGGCAGTTCATGACCCCTTTAACGTTTGTTTTTCCTTTCTGGGAAAATGGACCAAAAATATTGGCGCCCCCAAAGGGACATGAAATCAGAGGAAAAACTGTATTTCAATACTTTTGTGTTCTTCTAAGAAACATTGCATTAAAAAGTCTGAACTTTGCATATGCTTGTTTAATCGACCAACTCAACTTTACAACACATCTGAGCAACAGTGAGGAGGCATTCTTCATCTCCCTCATCATGTTGCCAAATTCTTCTTGAATGGAATTTGTGTTTTAAGAACTGTGTTTTTCTAAAAAGCTGCTTTCTGAATTTCCCACAAGCCCAACAATGTGTGCATGTCTCACTTTGAGAAGATCTCGGACGGTCTCGGCAAACCCCACTGTGTGGAGCGCACAGGCGATAGCGTTGGCGAACGCAAAGAGCAAACCGATGGGCGCTCCGAGCTCCGGACCCAGACTCCGAGAGATCATGAAGTACGTGCCACCTGGAGGAAAGATCACAGTGGAGTTTTTACTTGACAAATTGGCTTTGCTTGTTGAAATAATACACCTCACTAAATGTGTTTAAGACAAATACAAACATTGCATTTCTTGGGCAAGTTTAGTTCCAGGTTCTTATGTTGTTTTAAGGATGTTATGATATTTTACTGAAAAAGGTGTTTCAGATTAAAACCCAACATGAAGTGAAACGCGTCTTATTTACTTAAAACATGGTCCTGTTTTTATGGTGAATAATTCATTTCTCTCACCAGAGTAGATCTTCCCGTTGGTGGAGATTGCGGACACCGACGTTGCCGTGATTGTTGTGACGACGATAGACATGAAGATAATCACGTATGTCAGAACTGCAAGTAAAAATGCATAAATGGCATGTCAAATTACTTTAGATTAGGCCTTTATACTTTTAATTATCAAAAAGAGGAAATATTTAACTGTTAATTGGCTTAATTAAGAGACTTGAACTGAATTAAACCAGATGGAGGACTGACTCACTGAGTCCGGCTTGAGACGTGATCCACGGCAGCCGCAGGTACATAATGACTCCCCAGATGTTTAACATAGCGCGAATCTGGAACATTAAACACATTAAAAGAGAGAAATATAACATTACATTTTGCATAAAGGAAATTATACCACCTTTTTATTATTTTCATGAAAATTAAGCCAGGGATTCAACCTTATGCAAGTTAATTTATAGACCTAAGAAATCTTTGATCATAGGATATAATGGTTTTCTTTAAATATGACTGTAATAAATTACAACTATGACAGATAGACTTTTATTTGGGGGTATTACCTATACTGATATAGAAATCTTTGATCATAGGATATAATGGTTTTCTTTAAATATGACTGTAATAAATTACAATTATGACAGATAGACTTTTATTTGGGGGTATTACCTATACTGATATGTATAATAATGGCCAGCTAAGAATGGTTTCACGCCACAACTGAAACAAAATAAAAACTCAGCGGACCTGAACAAATCACCTAGGTGACTGATTTTGCTTTTATAAAAGGCTAATTTAAATGATAAGTGAGAAACATGTATCCCTGTTAAGCAATTTTGTGCAGTATTTGTTACTGTACTGATGACTACATTAAAAGAGAGAAATATAACATTACATTTTGCATAAAGGAAATTATACCACCTTTTTATTATTTTCATGAAAATTAAGCCAGGGATTCAACCTTATGCAAGTTAATTTATAGACCTAAGAAATCTTTGATCATAGGATATAATGGTTTTCTTTAAATATGACTGTAATAAATTACAACTATGACAGATAGACTTTTATTTGGGGGTATTACCTATACTGATATGTATAATAATGGCCAGCTAAGAATGGTTTCACGCCACAACTGAAACAAAATAAAAACTCAGCGGACCTGAACAAATCACCTAGGTGACTGATTTTGCTTTTATAAAAGGCTAATTTAAACGATAAGTGAGAAACATGTATCCCTGTTAAGCAATTTTGTGCAGTATTTGTTACTGTACTGATGACTAATATGTAAAACCAAGAATTGCATTGTATTTACATTCTGTCATTTAGCAGATGCTTTTATCCAAAGCAATCAAAAAAAAAAAAGGTATTTATTGTACTGCCCCCCCAAAAATTTATTTTAATTTTTATTTAAATGTATTTAAAAAAAAAAAAATATTGACTGTATGACTGTAGTAAATTTGTATGACTGTAGTAAGAATCAAACGAGAATAATCTGAGAATAAACAGAAAACGTTCTTATGCATTATGATAATGACAATTTTTTGGAAATATACATGTACACTCAGTAAGTTTGTAGTGTTTGGGTTAGCTGAGAAAAACATCAGGCAGATTTCTTGGAAAATCTGAGCACAGACTTAGCTCACCATTTAACAACTTGGAGAAACAACTAGAGATGTTAATAAGATCACATTGATGCTTGTTGCTTTCTCACCATGACTCCCAGAACCCATCCAAAGCGAACAAGCTTGACTTTGGGCCGTCCATCTTCCTCTGGTGGTGGAGGAAGATCATCAGGCTCCGGCTGTTGACAAGGAACATCCAGAGAATCAACATCAAAATCAAACGTGTTGCCATATAAACAGTATGTGTGCGCAATATTCACTTAGACTCACTTGTAAGCTTACTTAGGCATGCAACTTCTTTCAAATGACCACTTCTGGAATTTTACTTACTGGTTTGCGTAGAACATCCAGTGATGGTCTGGTTTTTTTAATACGTCCTGCCCAAGTGTCTTTGGCATAAAAGTCATATTTTGGCACGGGATCGAGTGGATTGAAGAATGACATTTTTCTCATGTCCTTCTCCTTCCCACAATCAGCCTCCCCCATATCCACAGTAACGTCTCCTTGAGGTGGGCCATTGCTGTCCGGACGGCGCAGACCCGGGATTAGGTTCCTGATGCGTTCGATATATTTGGACATTGTAGACTTTCTAGGACTTTAAACTTTAAGAAATCGACCTTTCCTGTTTTAGTTTCAGTGGAGTACACCGAAATGATCCAACCAATCCACAGATCCAACACATTTACGGAGTGTAGATGAACAGACCTTCTATCGGAAAATGAGTTGCGTTTTCTTTTATACGTTAACTGAGCCTACTTACACACACACCCATTATTAGACGTACACAAACAAAATTGCTGCAAAACCATGACTGTCAGTTCTTTGTATTGTGTCCGCTTGAAGCCTTCTTCAGAAATATCAACAGACTGGTTTCTTAACACGTCACATCTGTCAAATAGAGAGTTTGTCCTCCAACAGTTCAGACGTGTTAACTTAGGATATCCTTCATTCAAAGTGAGCATCATAAACTAAATGATTACAGATTATTATTACTAGTCTAAAAAAAAACTTGACTGACTTGGATAGCTGGATAAGCCTGGAAACTTGTCATGAACCTGTGATTTTTCCATACTTTGAAGCAAGCTTAAAGTTTATCCAGCTGCATCAGAGAAGTGTGTGCAAAGGAAAAGACTTTGTCTTTTTTTCCTAGACAAAAATGACATTAAAATGAGAGACTTTTTCTCCTTCCATATCTCACCAACTTTCTCAAATGGCATCAAAATGACTCAAATTTTGAGGGAGTCAAGAGAGTTTTTTTACAATGCTCACTAACACTTCCCTCTATAAAACCTGCTTGCATTGCACTATATATACAAATATTTATATATAATATACAATTGAATTGAAACTGTACATCAATGAAAAAAATGCTCATTATGACAACACATAAAACTTAATAGTGAGACAATGGACGTCATGAAAATGTGCTGAGAACACTTCCATAATATTATCCAGCTGCATCAGAGAAGTGTGTGCAAAGGAAAAGACTTTGTCTGTTTATCCTAGACAAAAATGAAATTAAAATGAGAGACTTTTTCTCCTTCCATATCTCACCAACTTTGTCTCAAATGGCATCAAAATGACTCAAATTTTGAGGGAGTCAAGAGAGTTTTTTTACAATGCTCACTAACACTTCCCTCTATAAAACCTGCTTGCATTGCACTATATATACAAATATTTATATATAATATACAATTGAATTGAAACTGTACATCAATGAAAAAAATGCTCATTATGACAACACATAAAACTTAATAGTGAGACAATGGACGTCATGAAAATGTGCTGAGAACACTTCCATAATATTCAAATTTTTCTCATACTGAATTACTGTAAGAGTGCCACGTTGTTTTCATGTGAAAAGCAGTGATTTTTGAACCGGCAGTACCAGCATTTGCACGTTGTCTAATATCTGCTACTTTCGTTTAGTGTCCCCATTCATTTGTTGTGAGTAGTAACATGAAATGTTTTGTTGACGTAGGTTTTCTTTGGGAACGTGAACCTGCTCCATCACGATTGTTCCAACTATCTATACAGCGGTATTTAGTAAACACACCCACATCTTCATCTAACCAATCAGAATGTTGGCATGCAGGTAATGTTTACTGGAACCATCATGCTTTTCATGAGGGCAAAATATGGATGGCCAAAGGATATGTAATTTATAGAGTGGACATCAGCCAATCAGTTCCATTCCTAGAATTTAGATTTCAAAGAGCACTCGAGTCAACAATCAGAATGGGCCGAAAGAACACAGTAAACCTTTTTTTCCAGTTTATACAAGTTTCAAGGAACCGTGTGCCATAAAAAGCTCATACGTTTTTTTGTCTTTGTTTTTTTTTCATGAACAGTAAAAGTTTTTACTGTGACCTTTATTTTTTTTTGTAATTTATTGGAACACAGCCCATTTGGGTGGGCTTGTCAACCTTGTGTACTCGGAACTCTTGTGTAAGTGACCTTGGGTTCAAAGCGTCTTCTCTGTTAACAACTACAAAGAAAAGTACAACCAAGAAACTATATGCTGCATGTACACAACATTTTCTGAAATGAGTCAGCGACTTAAACCTTTCTAAATAAAATGCTGGTGTTTAGTAGCTTGTTAATGTTGGACACTATTAACAAGCATACAGATGTTTGTGCAAACAGTTAATGCTTATTTCTTTTCTGTCTTAATGGTGCATATAGATTATAACGATCGGGTTGATGCATGATGATTTTTCATCATTAATTTTAATGTTACTTGAATAAATACAATGATTTTTCACATGTTCATTGGTGTACAGCAGCAGTTCACTTCGGTCAAATTTCTATTTGTGTTTGATTTTGTTGTATTTTTCAATAGCATGTTCTTCCTAGATTTAACCCCAAACAGAAACACTGTAACTGTACTAAATAAGAATCAGCTTCCTGAAAACCTTTGTGGGTTACTGGTATTATGTTGTTTTCTGAAAGGGCAAACCCTGATGAAAACATGTTTCAGTACCTTAAGTTGGATTCTGAGCAATACGGTTCTTCTAAATATAGCTAAATCTCTTTTTATTTGTACGTTATCATCACATGTAATTAATAACATCATTACTTATCACTGCAAATATTTGTTAACATTCTTGCATAATTAATTATCCATGCAGTTTTATGAACTTGATTACATGGAAAAGTTACTTTTAAAGATTTTTTTTTTTAAATGTTCAAAAATGTATATTAACTTATTCAGAAATACAAATAACATACAAACGTAATGTTTAAGAAGAATGGATGTTATATGATTTGTCAACTAGCCAGTTATCTAGTCAATACTTTCAGTTAGGTCAGTGAAAGAAATACATCTCTCTCAGTGCTTAAATGTCGCTTTCATAGTTATAAGAAGCCTAAGAACTGCTTTGTATTTCTGTAAAATGTGAAATGACACACCAGATAATATCTGCAAGCAGTGTGTCGGGTAATTTGTTAACAGTATATGAACTGGCCCATATATAAAAGTAAAACATTATGAATACAGAGTTTAAACATAAAGACGGACACCTACACAAAACAGTTTACGCTGCATCAGCATAGATGCACAGTACCTGCTTTCATTTGAGAAGGTACGGTATGTACTGTGAGAAACCTTTACATTTTGCTGCAACACCCTCCGACGTAGCTTCTGATAACGTCAGACAGGCAGGTCCGCTCTCAGAAATGCATTTCGCTGTATTTCTGCTTTATTTCACACTCAGCCACCTCTCTGAACTGTTTCCTATCTGTGTGAGCTTTCTCTTGTGTGCCCTCAAACATAAATGTAAATAAGTCTAATCAATTTTCCTAATCAATGGTAAATAATCACATTTATTACACAACAGAAATGTGCTCTTATTAATGTTTAATGTTTTAAAATCCCCTAATTACCTGCTTCTTATTCAATATTTCGTTTGAAAGGGAGGAAGGAAGGAAATAAATTAACAACTGGGATACCTAATATTTTAATAATCATCATATTACACAAGATACAACATCTAAATTTAATCTTGCATAAAAAACCCATAATCAAGATGATGTGGTATATATGCGTATGTGTGTGTATAAATACAGAGTTCTGGCATGAAACTCTAGATGGCGCAGTCCGATAGGTCTAACTCAATCTGACGTAATTACATCATCATCACATGGCACAGCTGATTGGTTCTCTCCTTGTTTTAAAATCCCCTAATTACCTGCTTCTTATTCAATATTTCGTTTGGAAGGGAGGAAGGAAATAAATTAACAACTGGGATACCTAATATTTTAATAATCATCATATTACACAAGATACAACATCTAAATTTAATCTTGCATAAAAAACCCATAATCAAGATGATGTGGTATATATGCGTATGTGTGTGTATAAATACAGAGTTCTGGCATGAAACTCTAGATGGCGCAGTCCGATAGGTCTAACTCAATCTGACGTAATGACATCATCATCACATGGCACAGCTGATTGGTTGTCTCCTGTATCGGTAGCCAATGAGCTCGCTGCTCAACATTCAAATATATGACTAGTGCTTGCCGTAGCAGTTGCAGCTTGCTTCAGAAACACTCCAACTTCCCCAGCTCCACCTGTATAGATCTGCTACGAGGTGATTAATGTATGCTATATGGGGGTTATTTCATGTAT